CCCAGGGAGAAGACGACGCTGAGTGGCCTGAAGGTGTTTACTACGAAGGGAAATGTGCTGGTGGTGTGGAAGAGGTGAACCTCTCCATGACCCTTGGGCGTATGCAGCGACAGCAGATCCAGGAGCTGTGCACTAGCTACGCGCCAACGTTCTCAGCCACCCCAGGACTGACTGAACGGGCATACCACTCCATTGACACAGGTAATGCTCACCCAATTAGGGTCCAACCTTACCGGGTGTCTCCTCAAGCTAAAACTGCTATAGAACGGGAGATCCAGGATATGTTACAGATGGGGGTAATCCGCCCCTCTGAAAGTGCATGGGCATCTCCAGTGGTTCTAGTTCCCAAACCAGATGGGGAAATACGTTTTTGCGTGGACTACCGTAAGCTAAATGCTGTAACTCGCCCAGACAACTATCCAATGCCACGCACAGATGAACTATTAGAGAAACTGGGACGGGCCCAGTTCATCTCTACCTTGGACTTAACCAAGGGGTACTGGCAGGTACCGCTAGACGAATCTGCCAAGGAAAGGTCAGCCTTCATCACACATCTCGGGCTGTATGAATTTAATGTACTCCCTTTCGGGCTGCGAAATGCACCCGCCACTTTCCAAAGACTTGTAGATGGTCTCCTAGCGGGATTAGGAGAATATGCAGTCGCCTACCTTGACGATGTGGCCATATTTTCGGATTCCTGGGCAGACCACCTGGAACATCTACAAAAAGTCCTTGAGCGCATAAGGGAGGCAGGACTAACTGTTAAGGCTAAGAAGTGTCAAATAGGACTAAACAGAGTGACTTACCTTGGACACCAGGTGGGTCAAGGAACTATCAGCCCCCTACAGGCCAAAGTGGATGCTATCCAAAAGTGGCCTGTCCCAAAGTCAAAGAAACAGGTTCAATCCTTCTTAGGCTTGGCCGGTTATTACAGACGATTTGTACCGCACTACAGCCAAATCGCTGCCCCACTGACAGACCTAACCAAAAAGAAACAGCCAAATGCTGTTCAGTGGACCGGAAAGTGTCAGAAGGCCTTTAACAAGCTTAAAGCGACACTCATGTCTGACCCTGTACTAAGGGCCCCAGACTTTGACAAACCGTTCCTAGTAACCACAGATGCGTCCGAGCGTGGTGTGGGAGCAGTTTTAATGCAGAAAGGACCTGATCAAGAATTCCACCCTGTAGTGTTTCTCAGCAAAAAACTGTCTGAGAGGGAAAGCAACTGGTCAGTCACTGAAAAAGAATGTTATGCCATTGTCTACGCTCTGGAAAAGCTACGCCCATATGTTTGGGGACGGCGTTTCCACCTGCAAACCGACCATGCTGCACTGAAGTGGCTTCACACCGTCAAAGAAACTAACAAAAAACTTCTTCGGTGGAGTTTAGCTCTCCAAGATTTTGATTTCGACATCCAACACATCTCAGGAGCTTCTAACAAAGTGGCTGATGCACTCTCCCGTGAAAGTTTCCCAGAATCAACTGGTTAAAATCGTCCTTGAGATGTGGAAAATATTGTTAGTCTTTATGTACTTGGTAGTATATTTAGAGATGCATGTGTCTTATTAACTCTGTTTTCCTAGAGCTCCAGGAAGAAATCCCAGCCAGTGTTTCACCCTAGCTGAGATTTGGGGGGCGTGTCATAAATATAAAGGGAAGGGTAAACCCCTTTGAAATCCCTCCTGGCCAGGGGAAAGCTCCTCTCACCTGTAAAGGGTTAAGAAGCTAAAGGTAACCTCGCTGGCACCTGACCAAAATGACCAATGAGGAGACAAGATACTTTCAAAAGCTGGGAGGAGGGAGAGGAACAAAGGGTCTGTCTGTGTGCTGCTCTTGCCAGAGACAGAACAGGAATGGAGTCTTAGAACTTTTAGTAAGTAATCTAGCTAGGTATGTGTTAGATTATGATTTCTTTAAATGGCTGAGAAAAGAATTGTGCTGAATAGAATAACTATTTCTGTCTGTATATCTTTTTTGTAACTTAAGGTTTTGCCTAGAGGGGTTCTCTATGTTTTTGAATCTAATTACCCTATAAGATATCTACATCCTGATTTTACAGGGGGGATTTCTTTATTTCTATTTACTTCTATTTTTTATTAAAAGTCTTCTTGTAAAAACTGAATGCTTTTTCATTGTTCTCAGATCCAAGGGTTTGGGTCTGTGGTCACCTATGCAAATTGGTGAGGCTTTTTATCCAACATTTCCCATGAAAGGGGGGGTGCAAGTGTTGGGAGGATTGTTCATTGTTCTTAAGATCCAAGGGTCTGGGTCTGTAGTCACCTAGGCAAATTGGTGAGGCTTTTTACTAAACCTTGTCCAGGAAGTGGGGTGCAAGGTTTTGGGAAGTATTTTGGGGGGACAGACGCGTCCAAACAGCTCTTCCCCAGTAACCAGTAATTGTTTGGTGGTGGTAGCGGCCATTCCAAGGATAACGGGTGTAATATTTTGTACCTTGGGGAAGTTTTGACCTAAGCTGGTAAAGATAAGCTTAGGAGGTTTTTCATGCAGGTCCCCACATCTGTACCCTAGAGTTCAGAGTGGGGGAGGAACCTTGACAGCCCCTTATTAAATATTTGTTCCTCATGTAGGTACTTATACTGTGATCAAGTCAACCCACAACCTTCTCTTTAAGCTAAATAGATTGAGCTCCTTGAGTCTATCACTATAAGGCAGGGTTTCTACTCCTTTAATCATTCTTGTAGCTCTTCTCTGAACCCTCTCCAATTTATTAACATCCTTCACGAATTGGGGGCACCAGAACTGGACACAGGATTCCAGCAGCAGTCGCACCAGCGCCAAATACAGAGGTATAATAACCTCTCTACTGCTACTCAAGATTCCCATGTTTAGACATCCCAGGATTGCATGAGCTTTTTTGGCCACAGCTTCACACTGGGAACTCATGTTTAGTTGATTATCAACCGTGAGCCCCAAATCTTTTTCAGAGTCACTGCTTCCCAGGATAGAGTCCCCCATCCTGTAAGTATGGCCTACATTGTTTGTTAAGTTTCAGAGGAACAGCCGTGTTAGTCTGTATTCGCAAAAAGAAAAGGAGTACTTGTGGCACCTTAGAGACTAACCAATTTATTTGAGCATGAGCTTTCGTGAGCTACAGCTCACTTCATCAGATGTTTACCGTGGAAACTGCAGCAGACTTTATATACACACAGAGAATATGAAACAATACCTCCTCCCACCCCACTGTCCTGCTGGTAATAGCTTATCTAAAGTGATCAACAGGTGGGCCATTTCCAGCACAAATCCAGGTTTTCTCACCCTCCACCCCCCACACACAAATTCACTCTCCTGCTGGTGCTAGCCCATCCAAAGTGACAACTCTTTGCATAATCAAGTCGGGCTATTCCCTGCATAGATCAAGGTTTTCTCACATCCCCCCCACCCCCATACACACACAAACTCACTCTCCTGCTGGTAATAGCTCATCTAAACTGACCACTCTCCAAGTTTAAATCCAAGTTAAACCAGAACATCTGGGGGGGGGGGGTAGGAAAAAACAAGAAGAAACAGGCTACCTTGCATAAGTCATTATGCAAGGTAGCCTGTTTCTTCTTGTTTTTTCCTACCCCCCCCCCCCAGATGTTCTGGTTTAACTTGGATTTAAACTTGGAGAGTGGTCAGTTTAGATGAGCTATTACCAGCAGGAGAGTGAGTTTGTGTGTGTATGGGGGTGGGGGGGATGTGAGAAAACCTTGATCTATGCAGGGAATAGCCCGACTTGATTATGCAAAGAGTTGTCACTTTGGATGGGCTAGCACCAGCAGGAGAGTGAATTTGTGTGGGGGGTGGAGGGTGAGAAAACCTGGATTTGTGCTGGAAATGGCCCACCTGTTGATCACTTTAGATAAGCTATTACCAGCAGGACAGTGGGGTGGGAGGAGGTATTGTTTCATATTCTCTGTGTGTATATAAAGTCTGCTGCAGTTTCCACGGTAAACATCTGATGAAGTGAGCTGTAGCTCACGAAAGCTCATGCTCAAATAAATTGGTTAGTCTCTAAGGTGCCACAAGTACTCCTTTTCTTATTGTTTGTTAAATTAACCGAGTGCAAAGCTGTGATTATCCCAAGGGCATCACTTAGAGGTGGTTAAGAATTTTCAGTCAAAGCCATTTTTCAGAAGAAAACTGGGTTTTCAACAAAATAATTTTTTTGCAAAAATGTGTCTGCTTTCAGTGGAAAATCTTGAATTTTCATTAAAAAAATGGAACATCCCCAGCGGTGCCCCTGTCATGATGCACTGCTCCCCTCACCAAGACAGAAGATTGTGAGGCCTCATGAGAAATGTAGTCTGACCAGCGAGTCCAGCCAACAGAGGACAGTGGGAGTATGAAACATCTGAACCACAACTCCCAGGAGGCACCGCAGTGGCATTTCAGAATTGAACTACTGTATATCATTTTTTGACAGAAATATTTCAGTTTTTGATTTTTTTGGTAAGAAAATATTTCAGTTTTTGATTTTTTTGTCTTCTCTCAATACTCAAATACTCAATGAGTGAATACTCAAAATTTTCTGTGGAAGAAAAGCCATGTTCCAACCAGCTTTAGTATCCATTGCAAACAGCACTGTGTAGACATTTGTATATGCTAATGGCATAATTGTCCTTGCCTTTGAAACCCAGTCTCACTGCATCTTTTCCATCACTAACTAGTATAAGTGTACATTTTAGGTCCAGTGTGTCCAGGCTCTGGGTATGGTTAAAGCAGCAAATAAGAGGAGACAGTTGTAAAGAGAATCGGAGACACCTTATACTTGTTATTTAATATGGAAACAAACTTAAAAGAACCACCCCCTCGGTTCTTCATCATCCAACTAGTCTTGACCTGATAAATTCTCAGTTCTGTGTTTGCTCGGTAGGGTCTAGCCAGAAGGTCCCTACATATTTTAAAGCCCGCTTCCCCTTTCTAATGTGTCTTTTCATCCCATTCTGTTTCCTTGCTTGTTTTACCTTCTCGCTAATTAGTTCCAAACAGGGTCAGTGTGGAGATTAACTCAGCTTTATTATACCAGCCCTGGAGCAGGCTCAGGAAAGCTCTGGCAACTCCTTTGGAAAGTGCGGCAGAACCTCGGGGAGAGAGCATGCTGTTTTCTTTAGCGACCAAAGTGAAGGCCCAGATGCCAGCAGCATCACAGAGCCATGGGCTTCTTTTTCTTCAGTGTGCTACATACAGTTGGTTCAGTTCCTGATTGGTAAAAGGTGCACAATTCACAGATGTCCTTATTCCTGTTCTGGGAATGTCCCAATTTAGTCAATTTTCAGAGCCGCATCTACAGTCACAGGATATGAACCACCCAACCTTTCACTCCCACCTTGATACATATCACCACTATACGGTACGAAAACGATGTTGCGTTTTCGATGGTCAAACATATTAACTTTTGGAAATCAGAGCAAACACTTCTACATGAAACCGGATGGAGAACACACATTCTGTACAGGCACAAGGGAAACTCATACCAAATAAGGGCCCAGTCATGCCAATGCTTATCAAGCATAGTACCTACTAATGTCTGCAGTCACACTGAAGTCAGTGGGACTACGTAGGTTAGTACGCAGGCTGCATGGTACTAACTGTGTGCAGCAGTGACCCCAAGAGAGAAATGGGAGGGTTTTTATTTAATTTGGCCATTTTAACTTGACATCGCTATATAGCCAAACTCCGGTTGAAAATGCCTATATGGCCCTGTCCTCCATCCAAGACCCCACAGCAGCTGAACCTAAATCTTACAGCAAAGTCTCTGGATGCCACAGTGCTCTGTTGCAGCAGACTAGAAATTTGGTGGCAGTTTCATTAAATTAAGATTGGAGGCTTTTCATGATTTTGGTATGAAAATGAACACAACGATCAATACAGCTGCCCTGTTGTTAGTTTTGACTTTTTCTTTCCCCCCTGCAAAAGCAGTTTGTTGGTTTTCAACAAACTCTGCCATTTAGATTACCTGGTTTCACATGCATTTAGCCTCTGATGTGTTTACTTGTCCCAAGAAGCTTGGCTGGATTTTAACACTCCAAACTTTCCTTAATTGGAGGGCATCTCAGAACACCCTTCTTTGACCAGCTCACTCCCTGCCCCAGGCCAAGACATGCACAGCTCAGGATTCCCCAGGCAACCCAAATGAAAAAAAAGTTTTGCCAGCTAATAAAAAGGAAAAAAGAGAATGTAAGTATGCAAATTCACTGATCCTCAAACAGGCCCAGAGTTACCTGGGAACCCTGCTCCGTTCCCTCACCCATCTCAAACCACTCATGACTCAGCAACAACACCCACTTCTGCCTCCTTTCCTGGTCCCCATCACCTTGCATCCCGAACCCCAAACTATCCCTTCCCACAGCATCTCCTCATTGTCTCCTCACCCCACCGCGTTCCCAAGGGCAGCACACGAGTGGGAAAGAGCTCCACGTGTCCCAAAAGGAGGAGATGCCCTGAATTCCATGCCAGGCCGCGTCTTGGATGGGATGTGGCCTGTAGCTGTTGGTCTACGGTCTTCACAGGTGCTGGGCTCTTAGCCTGTGTGGATCCTCTGGTGTGTAATAAGGTTCGAGCTCCGGCTGAAGCTCCGCCCACAGTGGGCACAGGTATAGGGCCTCTCGCCTGCGTGGGTCCGCTGATGCTGGAGGAGATTGGACCTTGCGCTGAAGCTCTTCCCGCACTGGGCGCACTCGTGCTGCCGCTCCCCCGTGTGGATCTTCTGGTGCTCGCTCAGCTCCGAGCCGCGGCTGAAGCTTTTCCCGCACTGGGCGCACTGGCGGGGCGCGTCGGCTGCGTGGAGCCGCTGGTGCCTGATGAGGGCGGAGCTCATGGAGAAGCTCCGCCCACACTGGGCGCACTGGTAGGGTCGCTCGCCCGTGTGGATGGTCCAGTGCTGCAGGAGGTGGGAGCTCAGGCTGAAGCTCTTCCCGCACGCGCAGCGGTAGGGCCGCTCGCCCGTGTGCGTCCGCTGGTGCTGCACCAGGTGGGAGCTGACGCTGAAGCTCCGCCCACACTCGGCGCACACGTAGGGCCGCTCCCCCGTGTGGATCCGCTGGTGTCGGACCAGGTGGGAGCTGACCCGGAAGCTCTTTCCGCACTCGGCGCAGTCATAGGGCCGCTCGCCAGTATGGATCCGTTGGTGCCGCAGGAAGGTGGAGCTCTGGGTGAAGCGTTTCCCGCACTCGGGGCAGGCATAGGGCCGCTCCCCTGTGTGGGTTCTCTGATGGACAGTCAGAGACGAGCTCTTGTTGAAGCTCTTCCCGCAGTCCGGACACGTGTTTGGTCTTTCCTGGTGGGCGAGGCCATCGCCCCCCTGAGCAGATTTACCCCAGCTCTGCGCCAGTGGGTTCCTCCGCCGCCTTTCTGACCTGCACCGAGTCTCACGGGCTCCTCCCCACTCAGGGCTCTGGGATCTCGTGGGTAAAGTCACAGGAGGCTTCACCATCTCAGGGGCTTCATGCAGGGGCTTCTGCTCCTCATTCTCTCTCGGCATCCCATCACCTGCTGGAATGAAAAAGGAATCCAGCCATGATTTGCTCCCTGCACTGAGGACAAAGAGAACCTCAGGAGCAGGAAGGGCAGTGGGGCTTGTCATGAATATTAAAAGTCACCAGAACTAAACTCCACAAAACCCTTTCTCTGGGAGGGGGACTTATGGTGCCTCAAAATCCCACCTGAGCCATAGATAAAGGTTGGGCCAGGGGAAGGACCCCTGTTTCATATCAGTTTGGATGGGTGGGAAGCCCTGAATGTCTAGGATATGGTTACTGCAGTGAAGGAGGCGGGATGACAGAATGGCGAGGTCTTACAACAGCTTGGATGGAATTCCACGATTCTTCTCCGTTTATTGAGTTTTGGGATTGGTGCAAGCTTACTCCTCACCTGCGTGGGCACAGCTCACAATCACCTCATGGCCTTGCATATCTGGGACCCACAGCTCTTCTCCTTGTTCTGTCTGGGATCACAGCCGGTTTTGGAACGGGCAGTCCTGCTCAGGGGAAAGGAAGTGTGTGAGATCAGGGTTTGTCACACGTTTGCAGAGCGTTTGTTACAAAAATGGTGCATGGTTTTTAAATGATGCTTCCTTTCTGATGGCAGGTATAGCTCATCTCAACAGAGGGGAAAATGTTCTTGGAGGCTGGTGGCGTAGCTAGGAATGGAAAGGTGAGTGGGCAGGCAATGACCGACTCACGCTAGCTCATTTAAGATGACATTGTGACATGGGCTAGCTGCCCGAGTCTAAGCCGACCCCTTGGGGCTGAGTTAGGGAAGAAGCAAGAGAAACTAAACTGGCTGAAGGCAGTATCTAGTATTTAGTTGGGGATTGGTCCTGCTTTGAGCAGCAGGTTGGACTAGATGACCTCCTGAGGTCCCTTCCAACCCTGATAGTCTATGATTCTATGATTTACCCCCGATGCACACACCACTCCGGGAGTGAAATGTGGGGGGAGATGCAGCTTGTCTCCCTTGAGGCTGAGGAGCTGCCCTGACACCTGCACAGGGAGCAGGAGTCAGCGCTGGGAGGGCTCTGCTTCCAGGGGTGGCTCTCTATCAGTGGGGGTGGGGGGTGGGGGGAGTGACCAGGCTCCCAGCTCTGTGGGGAAGGGTGCTCTAGGGGCATGGGTAGGGCAAGTCCCCACCCCCTGTGGGTGGGTGGGAGGAAGCCATTCCCAGTGGGGTATCAGGCCCCACTCTCCAGTGTGTATGTCACTGTCCAGTCTCTGTCCCGGCCCGGTGTGTAGGGGAGGCCCCAAGGGAGGTGGGGTTGGAGCGTGAGCCTGTCCTGCACTCACCCTGCAGAGGCAGCCCCTGTCCTATGGGGCTGGGCCTGGCTCCCTGCCCTGTCCTGTTGGCTCTTGCTGCTTGCAGGTCTGGAGCAGCCAGCCGCAACCTCACATGGTGCGTGTGCAGGTGGGGGCCTCCCTGCTCCCTTCCTGGCCCTGCTAGATGCGGGGGCTTCGCCTGCCGAGCTGGGCAGGAGCGTGGGGTTCCTCAGAAAATGACAAACCAGAGGTGCTGGAGTGCAGTTCAAGTGCTGGAGTGATGCTCTAGCAGGGCTAGAGCCCTGCTCACGTTTGGGTAGGCCTGGGTGCTTCGTGGGTGGGCCACAAACTGTAAGAGGGTGGTGGGAGCTCAGAGCCAGCCAACCATATTCCCAGGTACAGCTCTTCTAGGGAGATCCTGTGGTAATACACCCAGGGCAATGGGTGGCTGAGGAGTCAAGCACGGCCCCTAGATGGAGGTTTGTGGAGACCTTGAGGCTGGAAGGGCCAGAAGGAATGGCTTGAGGCTGGAAGGGCCAGAAGAACTGTACGTTCCTAAGAGTGGCAATATTATTTCAGAACTCCTGGCTACACCAAGTGTGGGACACTGAGGCAAGCGGACTGCAGTGCCATGCAATGAGGTGGCATGTCCTGCAACCAGACCGTCTGGGAACATCGCCTCTCTGCTGGCAGATGCGTTGTGCTCCCTTGTAGGAAATGTGGAGCCCTCCCACTGAAGGGGACCTGACGACTTAGGCAAAAATCAAGTACGAAGCCTGTAGCTTGTTCATGGGTGCTGGGACTAGAGGTGCGGGGGGTGCTGCCGCACACCCTGGCTTGAAGTGGTTTCCACTGCATACAGGATTTACAGTTTGGTGCAATCGCTCTCAGCACCCCCACTATGCAAATTGTTCCAGCCGCCCTGTGTTCATCTCCACATCTGCAGAGCGACCACGGACAGGCCGGGTGTGGAGAGGACACGGGAATGCTGTACAGCTGAGTGACTGCTCAAGCACGACACTCCTGTCCTCACGGAAAGCTCTGAGGACAGGGAAATTACCCTCCTATTTTATTGATCAAGTTCTGGCAGTGTCCTCAGCCTGATGCAAAATGTAGAAGTGAAGTTAAAGAGCTCACAAAGAGGCAGACACAAAGAACGCAAAACTGGGACTTGTCAGACCAAAGGTGCAGCTGGTCAGACAGCCTTCCCGGATGGTGGCCAAACCAGTTGCTTCAGGGAAAAAAACAGAAAAATCAGGGGGAAATCCTTGAAGTCATGGGGGCAGGATTTTATCCTGTCTGTAGAAATATTAAATCCTGGCCATCGATGAACAAAACGCCATACAACAACAGAATAAAACGAGCCACTGCGGTGACATTGCTCCCCAGGGCAGCATATTCCCTCAGAAGTGTGTTTACTATGAAGAGGAAGGGAACTGGCTTTGATTTTTGTTCCCCCCTCTGGTTAAAAGGAAAGCCAACTGGCCCAAGGATGATGCAGTTGCGAGATCTGGGAGCTCATATCTCGGAGCTCTTATTTCGCCTTCTGCCCCTTTCAGTCTCTCTCCTTTCCCAGTGGCACTCGCCCTCCAGCTGGCAGGTTGATCCCTGTTACATTTCCAGTGTGATCTCTCTGCCCAGGCTAGGACAATAACAGTGAGTCTGTGCAGTGAGTGGATCTGGGGCTCAGGCACACAGGGGGCAGCAGTGGGGTAGGGGGGAAGGAGAAGGCAGTTACAGATACTTTCCTGCCTTCTCTTTCAATTACCTGCAGTTCCTGGCTCAGAAGGTGACTGTAGAATCTGTTTGCTTCCCTGAGACAGTAGTTACAGCCAGGGACGGGGCCCATTTTTGGTTTGCAGGGGCACTTTAAATCATGCCTCTCAGCAGCCCAGGGCCCCCTGGACATGGGAGATCAGCAGCTCCTTGCTCTGGGCTCCTGGACAGAAGGGAGCTGGAAAAGGGCCTTTCTCACCCGGGAAGCTCATCCTTAAAATCCCGAGGACAGGCAATGCAGAGGCAGAAAGAGAAGCAGCCTCCTGTCTTTTCCCAACAGCCATCACCCTCTAGTGGCAACAGCTAGGGGAACGCTTGTGAATTTTGCACAGGTGGTGAGCAGAGGCTGTGAGCAGTTCAGCGGAACCCGCTCCCACGGAGCGTATGCCGGGGTAATCAATTATTTGTTGGCAAGGTCCAAATTTCTTGGCCAAGGTATAGTCAAGAGCCAGACTCCAGAGAAAATAATACAAAAATAATAACTAATGATAAGAAGTAAATAAAAAGATTTCGAAAGCGTCTGGCAGGTAGAGTTGCCAACTTTCTAATTGCACAAAACCAAACACCCTGGCCCCGCCTCCTTCCCCGCCCCTTCCCCAAGGCCCTGCCCCCACTCACACCATCCCCCCTCTCTCCGTCGCTCACTTTTCCCCACCCTCACTCACTTTCACTGGGCTGGGAGAAAGGGTTGGGGTGCGGGCTCTGGGATGGGGCCGGGGATGAGGGGTTTGGGGTGCGGGAGGGGGCTCCCGGCAGGGGATTGGGATGCAGGAGCGGGTGCAGGGTGTGGGCTCTGGGAGGGAGTTAGGGTACAGGAGGTGGCTCAGGGCTGGGGCAGGGGATGAGGGGTTTGGGGTGTGGGAGGGAGTGCAGCCTCCGGTTGGGGATATGGGCTGTGGGGTGGGGATGAGGAGTTTGGGGTGCAGGAGTGGTCTCAGAGCTGGGGCAGAGGGTTGGAGTGCAGAAGGGGTGTGGGATCCAGGAGGGAGTCTGGGTGCAGGAGGGGGCTCAGGATTGGTGTTGGGGGGTTGGGATGCGGGCTGGCTCCTAGGTGATGCTGATCTCAGGCAGCTCCCGGGAAGCAGTGGCATGTCTGTCTCCTAGGTGGGTGGAGCTTACCTCAGGTGGCTCCCGGTTGGTAGTGCAGCAGGGCTAAGGCAGGCTCCCTGCCCACCCTGGCTCTGCGTGGCTCCCAGAAGTGGCTGGCATGTCTGGCTCCTAGGCAGAGGAACCAGGGAGCTCTGTGTGATGCCCGTGCCCGCAGGTGCTATCCCCACAGCTCCTATTGGCTGCGGTTCCTGGCCAATGGGAGCTGAGGAGCCAGCGCTCGGGGTGGGGGCAGTGTGTGGAGCCCCCTGGCAGCCCCTGTGCCTAGGAGCCACAGGATATGCTGCCGCTTCTGGGTGCCATGCGGAGCCAGGGCAGGCAGGGAGCCTGCCTTAGCCCTGCTTTGCCACTAAGGAATGGCCTTGCCAGGGTCCCTTTTTGACCGGGCATTCTGGTTGAAAACTGCCCTACTGGCAGTCTGAATTTGGCCCATGGTCTGCCTATTGATTCCCCCAGCATATGCTATGCTCATAGGTACTGAAGCATGCGTGTCTGTCTGGAGGACAGAGCGGAGAACCCAGGGGAAATTCCTCCTAACTCCCAATAGTTAGAGGTTGGCTTATGCCAGGGTTAGCCAAACTTACTGACCCTCTGAGCTGCATACAATAATCTTCAGAAATTCGAGAGCCAGGTGTGCCTGCCAGGCTCGGGGCTTCTCCGTGCTGCAGGGTGGTGGGGCTAAGGACTTCTGCCCTGTGGGGTGGGGAGGTCTTGGGGTTTCAGCCCTGCAGGAGGTGCCTGCAGGGACTCCGGGCTCCTGCTGAAGGAGAAGCCCTGAGCTCCCTCCCCACCCCAGTCTGGTAAGCGGAGAACTGGGGAGAGGGGTGTGGAGGGCTCCGTGAGCCAAACTTTAACTGTAAAAGAGCTGAGATTTTGCCACCCCTGACTTATGTCCTGAAGCATGAGGGTTTGTATCATTTCCAAGACTCCTGGTTTTAGGGGTTATTATTTTGTTACTACATCACAAGATATTCTTGTTACACGTATAACAATCCTTCTCTAAATTCCGCAGAGCTATCTATTTTTACACGCCCACTAACATGGTATCTGAGTGCCTCACAACCTTTAAAGTATTTATACTCTTTGAGGTAGGGGAGTGCTACTATTCCCATTTCACATGTGGGGAGCTGAGGCGCAGGGAGATTATGACCTGCCCCAGGTCACACAAGAAGTTTGTGGCAGAGCAGGGAACTGGGAATTGAATCCAGATCTTCCAAGTCCCAGGCTAGAGCCTTAGCCACTGGCCATCCTTCCTTCTCTAGTTTTTTTAAAACTTCTATAACATGTTGTGGCAATGAGTTCCACAGGCTAATTACTCATTCTCTATAAAAGTAGTTCCTTTTGTCAGTTTTGAACTGACCACCTGTCAATTTCCTTGATTGTCCCCATGTTCTTGTATTATTGTGTACCTTCTCTAGAACATTCATTACTTTTTATATAGTGTTTTCTCTTGGTTTCTCATGTCCTTGTTTAGAAGATGGGGCTCAGCTTCCATTGTTAGGCACTAGCCATTGTTTGTTTCTCTTCCTTTTGCTGCTGGGTCAGGGTGTTGCTGCTTTTGAAATTCAGGATGTGGAGATGTTTGGAGACTTTACAATCTAGTTTAAATAAAAAAACTCATTAAAAAACTTTTGAAATCTAGCTTGTTACTCTGTTTCCTTGCCCTCCCAACCTCCGTTCTCTAGCTCCAGGAGAGAGGATGGCTTATTTGTCCCTTATTCAGTCCCCCTGAGGGGCAGGCTACAAGAAAACAATTCCTAATGATGAGGAGACTTTGGCCATGTGGAATAGTCTCCCCCTCAAGAGAAGGAGCAGTAGCCTCCATCACTAGGGACATTGCAAATCTAGGTAAAATTGGATAAAGCCTTGGAAAATAGGCTATTGACAATTCTACACAGCCCCCCCAGGAGATGGGAGAGAGGGCCTGAGAGATTCAGAGGGGAACTGCTGTGGGATATACCTGGGATCGGGGGAGGCTGAGAGACAGAGAGAAGCTTGGCAGAATTCTTTTTTTTTTTTTCTACAGTTTTAATGGATAATATTGATTTTTATTTTTAAGCATTGTCTTCGATTTTTATCCATCTACATTTTCACAGTTGTAGGGAAAATATACGTGGCGGGGACCAGACACTAATTGTTTAGTGACAGCAGACACTGAAATTCATAAAGTTAAAGGTTTGTAACCACTGAAACACAAACAGTCAACATCAAGTGTCAAGATACACGACGTAAATATCCTTAAATCAAAGTTCTCAAGTAGCATTTTTTGTACTTTGCCTTTCTCTACATTTTGATTATTGACGGAAATATTTTCACGTCGGTCTGTGTCCGGTGAAATCGATGTTTATTGACGCTTGTGGTGTCGTAGCTGTGTTGGCCCCAGGATATGAGAGGGACAAGATTTTCTTCAGGACTGTGGTGCTCCAAAGCTTGTGTCTTTCACCAACGAAAGATGTTACCTCACCCTCCTTGTCTCTCATTTACTGACATTTACAGATAAAAATCGAATCCTTCTGAGCCTAGCTATAAAGAACCGAGACTTTGTGGGAGACAGAGAGAGGGTCAGTTCAGAACAAAGCAACCCCATTTAAAACCATCAAGAAGGGCTCAACAGGAGAGATATTGACAGGAATCCCCACTGATTGTTACCTCCTGACCCCCTCAGACATAGCAGCCTCTAACAGAAGCGAGGAGGGGATTTGGCCGGGAGATCCAGCACTGTTTCACGGGGATCCTGAACTAAAAAGGACACTGGGCTCACGGGAACCTGATCTGATGAGGCTGCACAGCCCTGGAGAACAGAGCTATCCCTGCCCCATACTGTTATTTCCCCTCTGATTTTCTATTCGTTAAACAATGAGGAAAGGATCCTGGACTGCTCTGTGGGGGAGGCTGTGTGTCCAGGTTTCTGTGGTGATGACCACTAGAGGGTGATGGTTATTGTGGCAGGAGAAGCGGTGCCTGTCTCTCCTCTTGCTAGGCCTGTGCTTTGGATAGCAGGGGCTGAGCTTCCTGAGATGTAGCTGCTGCTGCCTGTAATTTGCAATTGCAACAGCCCCTGCTGTGCCCAGAGGCCTGCCTGAGCTGCTCTGGGAGAGATCTCACAGCAAGGTCCTGTTCCTCGCCAAGGTGGGGACTGTCTCTGGCTGTCACTAGTCTCCTAGGGAGACACAGGACTCTGCAGGTAATTGGGAGAGAGAACTCAAGCACTGACTGGCGATGGGCAGGAAGGGGACTATGTAAAAATGGCCGTGGCCTCTGCTGACACACACAGGCTCTCAGTTCTGTTAGCACTTGCTGGCGCTGATGCAGGTCCGAGAGTCCAGCGCTTCCAGGGGTGGAACAATAACCCCGGCTCCCAGCCAGAGGCGGTGGACAGGGGAGGAGAAATGAGGCTGAATTGCTCCCTCACCTTTCCCTACCTCAGGCTCCTGCTTCTGTCTAGTAAACATGCTGATGGAACAGGTTGCCTGCCTGGCAGGGGAACATCACCAAAAAAGCTTCTTTTTATTCTGCCTTTTCATGGGCTGGTAAAGGGAGGGTTTAAAATATTTTGCTGTTCTTAGCCCGGGCGAAAGGTGCCAGATCTGCACTATCATCAAGTGATCAAGCATTTTACCAGCCCCTCACAGCCTGCAACTTTTGCATGCAGACAAAGACTGTAGAGAGGACTGGGCTTTAAAATGTTCAGGAGCCCATCCTGATCTCTCCCCATTTGCCCTCAGTGCCCTGACAAGCTGAGGAATAACACCCACCTTTTGATCGTTTCAGGGGGACAGAAAAGAGAAATGGCTGCGTTGGAGCCAGCTCAGGTAAGGCATTTTCATGGGGCTGGGGGGCTTGTTATGCAGGGAGAGGACTAAATACACAGGAAGGTGGAGGAGGGGAGAGAGTGCAAGCTGCCTGCCAGGATGTGTTCAGAACAGGGGCTGACTTGTAGGATCAAGGAGATGATTAGGGGAAGGGAGAAATCCCTGAGCTACAGCATTTGGATCAAGTCTTAGCACTTTCCTCTCTGTGCTGGGCAAGGGCTGCTGGGAATTGTTTCTGGCAGGATGAGTGAATAATAGAGCATCATTAAGAAGTTTCTGATTGAATCTCCCAGTCTTGCCAAGACCCAAACGTGAAGCCACAGATCCCAAGATGGGGGCAAATTAATGGAAAAGTGCCCGGAGCTCAGGACACAGCCACAAAGAGTGTTTTCTGCCTCTGGGCTTCCCAGCGTTGGCATGTTGGAGTTCAGTGACGTCTGAGGCTGGGTATGTGAGTGCGAGGTGGGCTTACACCTGGGGGAAAGCAGGCCTGCATTGAGGGTCCCGTGAGAACGTGGTGCCAGGTGAGTCTAACCTGAGCTTTAGGTGAGCTATTGCCATGCCGTGCCACAGAGCATAAGGTATGGGACACTGGGGCACATGGCTTGAGCGGCGGGATTGTTCATGAACCAGCAGGTACTGAGTGGGCAATGCTTGTGATTTCAGGTCCTGGTGACATTTGAGGACGTGGCTGTGTATTTCTCTCGGGAGCAATGGGGCCTTTTGGATGATATGCAGAGGGCCCTCTACAGGGATGTCATGCAGGAGAATTACCAGACTCTGGTCTCACTGTGTAAGGATTCAGCTCTTCTCGGTTATTTGAAGCTCTGTGGTCGCTGACGTGCCAGGGGAGGCTTTGGCTCAGGCCCCAGGCCCTTTAGGGTACGTCTACACTGCAAAGAAAAACCTATGGCGCCAAGTCTGAGAGCTTGGGTCAACTGACTCAGGCCCGTGGGGCTAAAAGGAGCAGTGTTTGTGGCCTTGGTGTTTCCAAGCTCATGCTTGAGTGTCCACACTGCATTGTAACCTAGACTTACAATTGCAAAACCCAGGTCTCACAGCCATACCAACGCATCCATACTGCACCATGCAGACCTTCTGACTCGGGTCTGTGGCTTGGCCTGCGTTCAGAGTAACAGGGCTTGGACCTGAGCCACAGCAGGACTTGAGCTCTGACCCACCCCACTAGCAGGGTCTAGGACTCAGGTGCTGAATGCTTGCTGATGTGAGTCAGACTGATTTGTGTGTGGATGGAAGCAGGGCTTGGGCTGAAACCAGAGTCAGAGCTTGGGCTTAGTGTGCAGTGTAGACGTACCTGTAGATGTCTGGGGATCCAGCCAGGCCTGGAGTGGCAGAGAGAGACCCCAGACAATACCTTTCAAGTAGCCCATAAATGAGCGATCAGTTTGCAGGGTGGGGAGGGATTGAGCCCTTGTGGGTATTCCTCCCCGCCCCCTTATACGCAAATGTTATCCACAGAGATTTAATTGTTACATTCTCACTGGCCTTTCTGTTACAAAACATGTTTAAAACATGACCCACTCTCTCCCCTTTGGGGTTTTCTTCCTTCTTTCCTTTTCGCCAGCCTACTCTCAAGGGGACGTTAACAAAATGAAAAAGGTGTGATATTCAAAATGAGGTATAATTAGGCTAGGAAATCATTAAGGCCAAGAACTTAGGATAGGACATTTATATGCATAATAAGAATAAAAACATAAAACTATTACTGATAAAATTTTCAGGGGACACAAAGATTGGGGAAGTTGTAAATAATGAAGAGGACACGTCATTGATACAGAGCAATCTGAATCCCTTGGTAAGCTGGGTGCAAGAAAACAAGACTTGTTTTAATGAGGCCAAATGTAAAATTATACATCTAGGGACAAAGAATTTAGGTCACACTTACAAGATGTACTGGGTAGGAGTGACTCTAAGAAAGACTTGGGGATCATGGTGGATAACCAGCAGAACATGAGTTCTTGGTGCACTCCTGTGGGGAAAAGGGTTAATGCGGTCCTAGGCTGTATAAATGGGAATATCAAGTAAGCACAGGGAGGTTATATTATTTCCCTGTTTGGCACTGGTGTGATCATTACTGGAATACTGTGTCTAGTTGTGGCATCCATAATTCAAGAAGGATGTTGATAAATTGGAGAAGAGCCAGGAGAATGATTAAATGATTGTAACACTTGCCTAATGGTTATGGAAGTCGTATGGCCTGTGTTATACAGGAGGTCAGATTAGATGATCACAGTGGTCTTGTCTGGCCTTATACAACTCTCATGCTTCAGAGTTTAAACTAGGGATGAGGGCAAGACCTAACATGGGGAGCAGATTATCCCACATTTGTCTAATGCGAAATTTCTTGTTCCTTCCTCTGAAACAGCTGGTTCAGGTGCCTGAGACTGGACACTGGATTAGATGGACCTTGAGTCTGATCCAGTCTGGCAGTTTCTATGTTCTTCTCTTTTTTGTATTTCACTACATCTCGTCTCCCTATTTCTTCCTCTTTCTCTCTGGATCCCCCTTTCCCACCCTTTGCGGTGCTCTTTGCCTCCTCTTCCACTGTTCTCCCCTTGCGTCTCCTCCCTCCTCCCAGAATCCCTTCTTTTCAATCTTCTCCAGATCTCCCCTCCGCCTCCCCTCGGTCCAGTGTCTCCCTCAGGGCTCTGAAATCACAGCTCTCCAGTCACAGCCACACACCCTCAATCTAACCCACACAAAACCCAGTCACTCACTGTCCCTCGACAAGCATATACAGTACCAGTCGCACACAGAGTCAGAGAGACGCCCACCAGTCACTGGCTTCTCTGTCCAAGTCACCTTCACCAGACATCCCTACCCCTGGTAACACAGTTGCAAAAGCCTCTTGAGGTGGCACAGGGTTTGCTCCCAGTCACAATCCTCCCCGCCCTGCAGAGACGCTGGAGTAAGCAGTGCAGAGAAGTCAGAGTCCCTTCTTGAAGACAGGGGTGGCTGTGCAGGATGCACGAAGGGCAGCAGATGTGTTGGCTGCCACCTTGGCCAACACGCCAAGCTGCGGGAGAGGTGTGTGTGCAGGTCCCTGAATCAGCTGTAAGGGGCACAACACCTCTCCCAGCAACTGTCCGCCTTTCCCAAGGGCCTCGGGGAACATCCCCCATCCATTGAGGTAAAACGTCTCCTCCCAGCAAAAAGAGGAGCTGGGTTTAAATCAGGGGCCATTCTTCCTAACAAATAGTCGAGGAATAGTTGACAGACGCTGATTTCCTTTCTCCCTCAGCAGGATCTTCCATTCCCAAACCTGACGTGATTTCCCAGATGGAACGAGGGGAAGAGCCATGGGTCCCAGACCTCCAGAGCTCCCAGGAAAGGGAGATCCCAAGAGGTGCTCGAACAGGTGAGGAATAGGCTAAACCACCTCAGGAGCTGTCAGTGGAATGAAGATCTGGGAATCCAACAGCACCTTCATGTCCTCTCATCTCCCTCTTATCTTTCACTATCATAGCTGGTGTGGGTGATGCCCACATGGCGGATGTCAGTCAGGGCTGTCTACCCATCCTAACTCACATCTGGCAGGGGTCTGTCCCCTCACCCATCCTTTCTGTATTTATTCAGGAGGGGTGTGGCATCAGAATTGTTCCCTTTCCCTCTGTCTTCTGGGGACAGTTCAGGGATTCGATTCCAGATTTTCAGTCCCATTGCAACAAACCTTGACTAATTAAAAAAAAAACCCCGTTTTCTGATATAGCCTTCTAGCAGTATGTCCTAAAATGTACCTTAAAATTGAAATATGGGGTTTCCTGCTCCCCTGGTTATATTGTGAAGGGTTTTTGGATGGGCCTCCAAGCAAAACAGCCAAAGAGTCCCAGGCCCCCTCGCTCCTCTCTGGGCACACCCTTGCCTTCTGCTGGCAGCCTGTTCAGTGTCATGTCTGCTGCTGCTGTTTCTGGGAAACAATCTCTGGCAGAGATGTCAGACTCTCCCCTTCTCATCTCTTTCTGTTCTGATGTATGATTTGGACTGCAATAGCGCCAAAGAATCCCTGGCCTGGGCCAAGACCCCTGTGTGCAAGGTGCTGTACGAACATAACGAAAAGAGCTGACCATCTAAGTATCAGACAAGAGACAACACATGGATACAGACAGATGAGGGGAGCACAAGAAAACAATCAGACGATCGGGTTACTTGTAGCAACAGTAGGAACAAAAGGGACACATGGCTTTGCAAGTTCCCTTTTCGTAGGTTTCCTTCCTGCCCACCCCTTGCAGGAAATCACAGGTGCCGGCTTCCTCCTTTCCCTAGGGCTGCTTGACCCCCATTCAGCCCCAGGTCCTGCCCCCACACCACCCGTTTCCCCAAGGCCCCACCCCTGCCCCACCTCTTCCTGCCCCCACTCTGCCCCTGCCCTGCCTCTTCCCACCCAGTTCCGCCTCCGAGTGTGCCCCGCTCCTCCCCCTCCCCACCAGTGCCACCTGCACGCTGCGGAACAGCTGATTGCAGCAGGCGAGAGGCGCTGGGAAAGAGGGGGAGGAGTGGATCAGCGTGTGGGGCTGCTGGTGGGTGGGAGGCCCTCGCGGGGGAGGGGAACTGGCTGCCGGTGAGAGCTAAGCACCCACTAATTTGGAGCACCCATGGAGTCAGCACCTATGCAGGAAATGACTCCTGTCTGGATTCTCTTTTTATTCCAGCAGGGGATGACGTCATCGCCCGGAGGAATCCCGCAGGCGATAGGCCAACCATATGCAATGAGTGCGGGAAGAGCTTCAGGGGGAGCTCAAACCTCGTTCAGCATCAGAGGATCCACACGGGGAGAGACCTTACGAATGCGCAGCCTGTGGGAAGAGCTTCCGCCAGCGTTCGCACCTCCGCCAGCACTGGAAGAGCCACACGGGGGAGAGACCCTTTGAATGCCCTGACTGTGGGAAGAGCTTCAGCGTGAGCTCCGCCCTCATTAGGCACCAGAAAACTCACACGGGCGAGAGACCCTATGCATGCGCTGAGTGCGGGAAGAGCTTCAGCGTGAGCTCCGCCCTTACGAGGCACCAGCGGATCCACACGGGGGAGCGGCCCCACGTCTGTGCCGAGTGCGGGAAGAACTTCAGTGTGAGCTCCCACCTCGTGCAGCACCAGCGGATCCACACGGGGGAACGGCCCTACGTGTGTGCTGGGTGTGGGCGGAGCTTCAGCCAGAGCTCCCACCTCCTCCAGCATCAGAGGGTCCACTCGGGTGAGCGGCCCTACGAATGCACCGAGTGCGGGAAGAACTTCAGCCAGAGCTCGGACCTCATCAAACACCAGAGAACCCACTCGGGAGAGCGACCCTACGAATGCTCTTGCTGCTTTAAAAGCTTCACCTGGAACTCAGCGCTCATTAAACACCAGAAAGCGCACACGGGACAGAGACCCTATGAGCATGGCCAGTGCGTGGAAAGCTTCGGCCAGAGCTCAGCCCTCATCATCCCTCAGAGACACCACATGTGGCAGAAACCCCACTGATGGAGCATCAGGACACCAGCCAGTGTAATGCACTTGCTCTTATGAGCAAGTCACTTCAACTCTCTGTGCTGCGTCTTCCACCTCTAGCTTAAGGAAAATGAGAACAATGGGATTCTCTGATCCTTGTTCTGCTCACCCATCACCAGCTGGGACTTTCCCGGAATTATAGGGTTTGGGAGGTTTCTTTTCCTTTTACTATAGAGTGGATTGAGTGCTGTTTCTGGAAAGCCAGGTTTAGGAGGTTTTCCAGTGAGTTTGGTTCCAGTTTCAGTAAAGTCTTTATTTGTTGCTGTGGGTCCTTGGAATTTGGGTTTGAAATGTTAAAAATTCTCAATAAAGTTTGCATTATGGTACCACTGTCTTGGAAATTTTCTTAGTGCTCAGAGTGCCAGAGGCTAATTTCCCCAGATTGAATTATTCCCACTCAGTTTTCGGTATGGAGCCCATTTACGAATAGTGTCTGTGAACGTCCAGGAGACAGGTATGTGAGACCCCAACGTGGTGACGCAGAGCCAGAGGACTGGTTCACTGACAAGTTGGAAATATAGACTCTTTCAGCAGCAGATTCACTTCTGCTGCCTGGTAACAACTTGAACTTTTGTCTCTCCTCTCTGGATCATATTTAACTTCTTTAGATCCCATTTCAACAAAGCACTTAAAATGCTTATGTCCCATTGACATCAGTGAGACTTTAGCAAGTGTTTAAAGTTAGTAAGTGGTTTGTTGAGTAGAGCATGCATTTTAGGGCTTTGCTGAATCAGAGTTTAATTCCCTAAATTCCAGGACTGTCAGTTCAACAGTGGGATTGTTCATTTCAGGGTGGGTTTTCAAAAGCACCAGAAGGAGTTATTGGATTTCTGTGGGAGCTGGGCACATAAATCACATCTTAATAAGGGTAGTCGGAGCAAGGTGGTAGCGAGGTTGGGGCTTCCTTCGCAGAAGAGAGATGGATCGGAGCTAGATTTTTAAACCACTGCACAAAGAATTACATCCTCTTACTCGTTAATACCGGTTGTTATGCTTGTAAATTTGGAGATCATTGTGTTGAGTCACAGAATTCCTATTAATTGATTAAACAAGCCAAACCAATTAAAAAACCAAAACTAAAAACAAATCAATGCCCCTAGAAAATAACCCTTCACTACCCCAGTGGGATGCAATCTGGGGGATTGTGCTTGTGTGACTCCTCAGTAGGCAAGGTAACACAATTAGCCCATGTTTTGATGTCAATAAATAGACTAAGCCTTGGACACTCCGCACTTCCTGGGACAGTGCTTCTGAGAATTGTTATGTTGTATCAATACAATGTTGTTGTTATAGTGGGTGTACCTGAGGCTCTAGCCCAGAGCAGGTATTAATTTTGTATCCTATCTCATAGAATCATAGAACCATAGAATATCAGGGTTGGAAGGGACCTCAGGAGGTCATCTAGTCCAACCCCCTGCTCAAAGCAGGACCAATCCCCAACTAAATCATCTCAGCCAGGGCTTTGTCAAGCCTGACCTTAAAAACTTCTAAGGAAGGAGATTCCACCACCTCCCTAGGTAATGCATTCCGGTGTTTCACCACCCTCCTAGTGAAAGTTTTTCCTAATATCCAACCTAAACCTCCCCCACTGCAACTTGAGACCATTACTCCTTGTTCTGTCATCAGCTACCACTGAGAACAGTCTAGATCCATCCTTTTTGGAACCCCCTTTCAGGTAGTTGAAAGCAGTTATCAAATCCCCCCCTCATTCTTCTCTTCCACAGACTAAACAATCCCAGTTCCCTCAGCCTCTCCTCATAAATCATGTGTTCCAGTCCCATAATCATTTTTGTTCCCCTCTGCTGGACTCTTTCCAATTTTTCCACATCCTTCTTGTAGTGTGGGGCCCAAAACTGGACACAGTACTCCAGATGAGGCCTCACCATTGTCGAATAGAGGGGAACGATCAGGTCCCTCGATCTGCTGGCAATGCCCCTACATATACATCCCAAAATGCCATTGGCCTTCTTGGCAACAAGGGCACACTGTTGACTCATATCCAGCCTCTCGTTCACTGTAACCCCTAGGTCCTTTTCTGCAGAACTGCTGCCGAGCCATTCGGTCGCTAGTCTGTAGCGGTGCATGGGATTCTTCCGTCCTAAGTGCAGGACTCTGCACTTGCCCTTGTTGAACCTCATCAGATTTCTTTTGGCCCAATCCTCTAACCCTCTCCAGAGCTCATAAAGTAACAATACATCAGTAAACTAGATTCACAGCTAGTGGAGATCAGTGGAACTATGTTGATATACACCAGCTGAGACTCTGGCCCCAAACTTTTAGTAGCAACCTGGTGGAATTTCAAACTAGGTTCAGAAATCCTGAAAATGCTTTTGAAATGTCCCTTGTGGAAACAATCTAGTGAGATTTGGAGGCAAGCTATCAAAGCAAAAGGTATAAGCTTTTAATCCCTCAGGGGTTCAGGTGGGATTTTCCAGCACAGTGCATGGAGCTCAGTCTCTAGATGTTGTAATTCAAACTGATTTCATGGTTTACCTGCACATTTTCCCTAACAGATTAAACGCAGCTGTTGCAGATGAGGAGAAATATATTTTGCTTCTGTCACAGGATGTTGTACATCTTTCTTTGCTTTGGATTTTTTTCTTCTTTTATGAAAGGGGCGGAATATGTATCACCACTAAGAAAGCCTCCAAGAATCAGCATGCATTTGAATGACTTGTAATTGACAAAGTATTTGTTGTTTTCCAAATATCTGTGATTGATTGTGTTCATTATTTCCTGGTGGAAATTAAAAATTCAGCATGTCCCAGTAACTATTTGCACCATCTTTGTTTCCCTTTCTGGTGGATCTTGAACACCTGAGTATGGGGAATCTTTCAGCTACTCTGTACGGATTCCTTTAGCAGTCCAATTTCCATCCCTAAAAATTCACCTGCCCATTAGCACCTTTCCCCAGCAAGAAAGAGAGACTTTACGGCCTGATTTTTAAGTACCTCTAGACACCACTGACTTCAAAGGAAGATGAGGTGCTTAAGTTCTCTGAAAAATCTTTTCACCTCAAGTTGTGTCATTCCTCACAAAGGTATAGGTGGAACAAATGGACATTAAAGGAGTTTGCAGATATTCTCACCTCTCATTCCAGTTGGTGAGGCCAGAGCATAGGCGTGCGCATGGGGTGTCCTGGGTGTGCCCAGGCACACCCTGATCAGGGCCGCCCCAAGTGCAAAAAAAAAAATACAACAAAAAACCCAAAAAGGGCAGCGGGACTGCTGGAGATGGGGGGCGGGGGACCCCGGGGGCGGGGGACCCTGGTCCGGCTTCTCTTCTCCGCCCCCGCTCTCCCCTGCGGGGGCAGAAGCTTGGTGGGGTTGCGCGCCCCGGATTCGGTCCTGCTGCTCCACGGCAACCAAGCCCTGGCCTTGTCCCCCAGCGCGCTGCGGACTCGGCCCGCCTCAGGTCCCTGCCCCCTGCCCCCAGGGCGCGGTCCGCCGGGCAGAGAGAGGGGGACATGGAGAAGAGGTGGAGGCAGGGCCTTGGAAAGGGGGTGGAATCGGGGTGTACCCCCTCCAGCCCCCTGCCCTGAGCGGTTCACAGCAGGGGGCTGGGAGCACCCCCACGACCCCAGTCCACCTCCCCAGCCATGACTCCTGCACCCCCCTCCCACACCCTGCCCTGACCCCTGTACCCCCCTCACACCTCTCCCAGCCCTCTGCCCTGACCCCTGCACCCCCCTCACCCTCCCAGCCCCCTGCCCTGACCCCTGCACCCCCTTACACCTCCCCCCAGCCCCTTGCCCTGACCCCTGCACCCTCTCACACCCCCCAACCCTCTGCCCTGACCTCTGCACCCCCACACACACACCCAGCCCTCTGCCCTGACCCCTGCACCCCCTCACACACACCCAGCCCCCTGCCCTGACCCCTGCACCCCCCCACACACTCCCAGCCCTCTGCCCTGACCCCTGCACCCCCCTCACACACCCCAGCCCTCTGCTCTGAATCCTGCAGCCCCCAACCCCAGCCCTGGCTCCTGCACGCTCCCCGCACACCCTGTCCTGACTCCTGCACCCACCCATGATCCCATCCCTGACTCCTGCACCTCCACACATACCCAGGCCCCCCCTCACCCCATGCCCTGACTCTGGCACCCCCCCACATCCCCACCCCTACCCTGAGCACCAAACAGGAAGCACCTGCACCCTCCCGCCCACATATCCACCTGCACCCCTCGCACCAAATGGGAGCTGCCCCAAGTAAGTGCTCCACACCCCAACCTCCTGCCCCAACCCTGAGCCCCCTCCCTCATTCTAGCTCTTGGCCAGACCCTGCACCCCAACCCCCAGCCTGCTCCTGCACCCTAACTCCCTTCCAGACCCTGCATCCCCAGCCCTGTACTCAGTGTACCCCCACCCTCAGCTCGGTGTGGAGAGAGACAAAGAGAATGGGCTAGAACCAGGGAGAAGGTAGGTACCCGCTCTATGTGGACAGGAGTTGGGGGGATCTTGTTTACCCTCCCCAGCCCTGCTGCACTTGTAGTTTACCCCCAGCCCCTCCCTTGCTCTAGGGACCAACTCTAGCTCCCGCCCCTCTGTGCTTTTGACCCTGGTCCCTGACTTGCTCCAGTCAGCAGGGACTAATCCTCCCCGAATGCCCCACTGTGCTCCTCTGGCTCCTCCAGCTGGTGACCAATCCCCCCATGCCCCGCTGTGCTCTTGCCCCGGCCCCTGCCTCGCTCCAGCTGGGGACCAATCCTTCCCCCTGTCCCCACCATGCCTAGCTGTTAGGGTGGATAAAAATCAATGACTTTAAAAAAAAATCAAAAATATCGGATTTTTTTTTATTTAAATTGAATTTTTGAGGAAAAAACATATCGAGAGATAGTCTTAATTAAGATACATTATATCTCATCATGGAATAGGGATTATAAATTCTAATTGTATAGTGTGAGACAATATATTCATGTAATGTTTAAGAAAAGTTTTGTAAATGAGTTCTAATAGTTCATGGATTAGGGACCCAATCTTATGGGGTTCCAGGGGCTTCTATCTAGATTACTTAGGTTAATCTTTCTATTTATCCAATGGGACTCAGTGCTCAGTCTAGAAGATACCATCAGAAATGCTTAGTTTTGCAGTTGTATTTTGTTGGATTATGCAATAAGCGCCAAATTGCGTAATCTAGATGTTGTAGACATGAATAGAAAGCCCGCGTTCGCTCGCAGCATGCGTCCCCACGACTGCAGCACCACATTCCCATTGGTCCTCCCCTCCCCCTCCGACTACTATTCTAGAACATTCTTTGACCTATATAAGCAGCCGTGTCAGGCGTGCCCAGCACAGTGTCTACAGTGTTTGTAATCTTTGTCGCGT